AAAAAAAAGGAAAAGCCCCTGACATGTTGGGGTCTGCGGAGTCAATAGGTTAGCGGCGATTTGTCAACATCGGGTTAGGCGGATCTCAAGCGATAAAATCACTGTTATTACCTCAGCTGAGAGGTAACTGCGTACATATCTCACATGGCCGTTTGCTCGAAAACGATACCTCGCAATTTGAGCGATTACCTCTAAAACCAGACATTTTCTAACGAACTAACTCAAAAGAATTAAGTATACCATCCATTAGTAACAAATGATCCTTTGCAAAAAAGATGCAATGAGTCGTTGCACTCTTGCTTTATGTTCTTATCGCAATACAGTGTGTCCTTGAGCATTGTTGAAGTAATGGTTACGAGAAGGATAAATGGTGGATTACAGTAGAACACAGGCGGATTTACAGGGAGGAAAAGATTTTGGGTTGAAGCTTCCCCTTCCTCCCCAAAAAATTTTGTAAAATATAACCATATCTTTTAAAAAATTATCTCTAAAAGTATTATTTTTCGTTCCATTACATTTAATAGGATTTCAAGAATCATTAAACATTATTAAATTATCACATTAAACATCATGTAAGTAATTAGTTTCTTTCTTTTTCTTCCAAAGTAATTATCATTTTATATATATATATATACATATATAATTATAAATCTTTTGTGCTAAAGCCCGCTCCAAAATTAAATCATGGTTCCCGATAGTGCAGTAGAATCCCACTTTTCCAGAGCTACTAATACATAATATTATTATGACGTGATGGCCGAGAATGTTAGGGCTGCCATGTTCTGAACGGTTTGGATTCAATCCCAACCTGGGTCGGTTAATATGTCGAAGATCCAGAGAAATGAATCTTGACATTCCAATTATGCTTAGTACCTAGCGACAGCCTTAAGGTCTGAGATTATCAAAAAGGACCTGGACACGTATTTACACAGGTAACAGTAGTACTTTATATTATATATTAATAGTGAGTGTAGAAAAGTTTAGGTATCTAGGGTCTACAATAACTGGAAAAACAAAATTAAAGAGGAGATTAAATTTAGATTGAAGAAAATTCGTGATATTTTTCTGTGATAAAACTACTATGCACCCGCCTCCTATCCCGAAACTTTTTAAAGAGCAACTTCAAAAGGTTTTCGAAAATAAATTATTGCGTAGAATATTCTGACCTAAGAAGGATGAGTATACCGGAGATTCAGACGATTGAACAACACCGAACTGCGTGTACAGTATCCTACGGATTCGCTGAACATTTTATTACCGTTATTATAATTAATAGTGAGTAACTTACTATTTCAAAAATTATACCATTTAAAATTAGACTGTTTTTAATTGTAAACACTAACATGAAAATTGAGGATAGTAAGGTCCACCGAACAAACCTTTTTTTGACATAAATGACATTAACAACAACCATGTTTTATTTTATGAATCCATCGCCTCTTATATTATTTTGAATAATCCTGGGAACATCATTCAGTATAAGTGAGTTTCAACTGCACTATGTAGTTCATGGGCTACTCAATAAGTTTGATAGGTGTGGAAATGAATCAAAAGTTCTAAATTAACCTCGGTTAAGTTGCTAAAAAATAAATAAGTTAAAGATAAACTTTTTTATTTCAGTATTTTTTACTTAGAATACATTTACTTACAAAACATCATACTGTATGTAATCTTTGTTGGTGACACTTCTGTTTTAAAAATAAATCAATATCGTACTAGTAGTCAATAATATCGATAGTTACATTGATTTGTACATATATTAGTATATTAATAACAATCTAAAATATTCGATCTGCAATGATTGTATAAATACTATTATGGATGTTTATAAGGCATGTTATGCGACTTTGGAATTCAAATAACACTTATTACAGAATACTTCGTTCTATTTGCATAATTGGCCCACAGCTGCAGCCCAGATTTAAGATAATTCTAAGCGGGTCTATTTTAAAACAGCAATAATAGCCTCGACTAAGACAGTTTTGCAAAGAGTTTATTATCGCCGCAAAAACAGCTTCTCTTTCCATAATTGCTCCAGAGGCGTTGAAAACCAGCAGTTAGTTGCTTTCTGCACTTATATTATCATATAAAATGATATATCAGCGATTGTTTAGTTCTTGACTCTATTAGGTGTGTATTGAAGGAAATTTTATTAGTATTTTTGCATATTTTATTGAAATGGCTTCTATTTGAGATGGTTGTTGATAAAAATTAAGTTAATAACATTACTATATGCCAAACTTATTTATTGAAGATAATGGAATATTTAAGTAATTGATAGTCCGTTAGAGAAACAATAGGTGCAAATTTTATGGTGCTACTGCAGACAAAGAAGAAAATGGAATCAGGATATAATTTATAATGCAAACTCAGATAGAACAATAAAGGGATTTTAGGAAAGAAAAAAATCCGAAATTGCCAAAAACCTATTGCCAAAAACAGGTCATTGACAGTGACCAGCATTTTTCAATAAATTTAAATCGTGAAACGAAATGAAGTTAGCTTTATAATAAGTTAAAGGTAATTTTTGTTCATATCTATTTTAAAATGAAGAATGTAAGGTAGTAACAAAACTATCCTCCAAATTTATAATTTTTTAAAATTTAGATGAAAGTTTCGTGGATTTTAAATGTCTCTTAGAGCTATTAAAAATTCATTTTCAACTATTTGATTAGTCACAGATATAGTCAGGCATATACAAACATTGGAGGGTGTAGGATGTAAAATACAAGTTTTGTGGTTACCGGGTCACTCAGGTATTAGAGGTAATACCACAGCATGGCAAAACAAGCTATCACGGAAGGAACTCCAGTAGGGGATGGTTTTCCAAAAGAAGTCATAGCTTTGGTAAAGAGAAAGGCTTTGGAAAAATGGCAGGGTCTCTGACATGTGTTTAGAGAGAATAAGTTGAGAGTGATCGAGCCCTCTGTAGTATCAAATCTAGCGGACCTTCGGATAAATAGAAGAGAAGAAATATTACTGACAATTCTCCGAATCGGCCACTCACGGCTAACCCATGAGTACCTAATGACAAAGGGGACACCCCCTCAGTGTCCCTGCTGGGGGGTCAATTTAACAATCAGGCACATTTTGACCGAGTGTAATGCATATGAAACACAACGGAATGAAGTTAAATTGGAGAATGACATAACCGAAATTTAGAAAAATACCACCAAATTGGCAAAAAAAACTGTTTAAATTTCTACAAATAACGTACCTATACAACAAAATTTAAATTTTGCTGACTCTTTTTTTTTTAAATATTTTGATTTTTCAATTCATTGTTAAATTTAATTTAATTTGATGTAACATAAATATTTTGTAAGGGCTAAAATAACCCATAAGAGATTGAGGAGCTTCTTCCATTGTTATAAAATAAAAAAGAAAAAAAAATATGTTAAATGTCACTTAGTAAGCTGAGAAGTAGATTTATGAGATGAATCCAAGGAGACAAAGACACCAATATTTAAGATATTTCATGTAAAAGTTCAAAGAAATTTCCATAAGCATATTAGCAACTTGTGCATTACCCTCCAGATTTCAAAATTCCTCAAAAATAATAAAAAAGATTATACTTCGCAACCAGGTAATATGAAAATTATTAAACGTTAGCTCCATTATCAGAATTGCAAATAGGATAAATAAGTGAAATATTATAAAATTATAAATTAATAAAAATGAAATATGTGACATTTCATGAAACAAAGCAGATTTACAGACGTACGTATCTACTAGGGGGTCCAAAAAAAAAACGGGAATTTCGCTATAACTTCTTATTTTGTAATATTTTCACAACAAATTTTGATCGTCTTCATAGTATATTGTCCCTTGACCACAAGGTACCTCTCCAAATGATTCATCTAATGTTCAAATCATTTTTAAAATTCACTTATCGGGATGTTTTCTGTAGTTCTTCCGGCGATTTTTGTTTTACCTCCTCCATAGTGGCAAAACGCTTTCCTCTCGTGTCTCTTTTGAGTCTGGGGAACAAAAAGAAATCACAGAGGGCTAGATCCGGTGATATGAGGGGGGTGGACAATCGGTGTCATGCCGTTTTTGGACAAAAACTGCTTTACGAAGAGGGCGCTGTTGGCCGGCTCATTGTCATGATGATAGAACCAGTCGCCTGAGCTCCAAAGATCTGCTCTTTTCTTCCGGATTCTCTTCCTCAATCTTTTCAAAACCTCCAAGTAGAACTCCTGATTGACAGTTTGACTCAGGGGCAACGAACTCCGCTTGCACAACACCTCTGTAATCGAAGAAACGAATGAGCAATGTCTAGATGCAGCTGTCTTCCACTGGCTCGATTGCTGGTTTGTTTCGGGGTCGTCTCCATAGCACTACGATTGCTGATTCATCACCAGTAATCACCTTGGAATGAAATTCAGGGTCCTCTTTGAGCTAATTTTGCAGCTCAAAACATGCCTGAAGTCGATGCTCTCTTTGCCCGCCTGTGAGAAGACGAGGCTCTTTGACGGAAGGTCCAAGTAGAGTTAGAGGAAGGACTATGTATAACACCCTAATGCTTGCTAATTATTACGGGTCTATCCTCAAAGTGTTTTTTCTATAATTTCTTAAATTGGTCGTGAATAATAAATTAAACATTTCTATTGTATTCTATTGAATCTATTGAAAAAGTTATTAATATTTAATTGCTGCGGTTATTGATAAAGTTGTGTTTATATTTTATTTGTTTAACAACTTGCTTAGTACAATTTTTTCTAAATATTAACAACGAATTATTATTATATTCGCACTAGTTTGATGTATCATCGAAAATACGTTTCGTTCATCATATTATACCGAAAATGGTAGAAGCATTTTCCATTCGCTCCATTAAACAAATAGGATAACAACAATCATCTACATATCAAAGTCCATTAAGTTATGAAGACATCAATTCATACCGACGTAGCAGGACAGCCCCATTAGTAGACATGAAGCCTGGACAACTCGATGCTACTTGTCGTTTCATCTTCCTCTACTCCAAGCTGTGGGGGATGTTCCCCTTCCGATTGGTGGACGGGTGGGAGCTCCGAATGTCGAGAAAGGCTCTCTTCCATAGCTTCGTCGTGGCTGTGTTCTCCATCTTCTCCTTTTACAAGTCGACCATGTCCTCCAAGAAGCGCCTTTACAACTTCATCTTTCTCACGGAGCTCTTCTCACTCAACCTGACTGTTGTAAGTTCTGTTCTAATGTTGATTTTCAAGCATGGACACCTTTCGGATGCCCTGTTCACCGTGCTCTCCGTCCAGCGGCGGCACGGTATAAGACTGAGGTGCAGGAGCTACCTAACGCAGCTTTTGATGTGCTCATTGTGTCTCCTTATCATCTTAATTTACAGGTAAATGATGTAGAAACTCATACAACGTACGCATTGTATCTTGGCTAATCAATAAGTGAATATATTTTTTTTTTGTTCGTTTAATAGCAACCTACTACCTATTATATCATTGAAATAAAATTGTCAAAACATTAGCATTAGGCAAAAATGTCGGAGGATGAATTCCCTCTCTAATTTTAGGTGGTGTCGACATCGAACCTTCTGGTTTGAGAGTTAGGCCTTTTCAAAATAATTTAATTTCTTTATTGATCTACCTCATTAAAGTACACAAAAGGGCAGTGATTAATTTACATGATCTCATATTATAATACCATATTAAAGGAGTTTTTTTTTTTAATTTGAGCTCAATCTATTCGTATTTTTAAATATTTTACTGTAAATATCAAAAACTATGTCGTATTGAAGTACCAACGTAACCCCCTCAGTTTGAAACAATTTATAAAATAAATTGAGATTCTTCTGAAAAATATAGTAAAAAAAGAAAAAAAATATCCCCTTATAATTGAATGTCTTCGTCCCCTCGATACTGCAGTGCAGTGATAACATAAAAAAATGAATTGGTCCGGTTTGAAACTAATCGGCTCATTTACATACATCAGTTTTCTTTTTTATTTCCTGAATGTTATTAACTTTTTTTTCAATTACTCTTTATCAAATCTTTAATCAATAAAAGTCCATGATTTCATAATCTGCTGAGTTTTCTTCCACCTATTTTACTTTTGGTCTTCGTTTTTTTCCGCCATCATCTACTTCTAATTTCATAATCATTTTCGGTCATATTTCATGATGGCTTTTTTTAACATTCCCTAAACTAAAAAATAAATAAATCTTTTAAAAAATGAGTTAAAAATATAAAGAAATAAACATCATAATTACGTAAGTCACCCTGCAAACAGCGTCACAGGTATTGAAACTAGTAGAAGATGACATGGATTTGAGGGAGCCGACCATGAATATTTCTACAATATACGTATTTACAAGTGGTCTTCTGGCTACTGACATTTTAATCTTCGGGGAGTACTACACGGATGAGTGGTGTGGTATAGAAACTTAAAGAAGACTGATAAGGTTTCTATGGAAATTGGTAAGCTATAAAGTACGTTGTAAAAAAAAAAAAAAAAAAATTGGAACGAGAGCCCTCCTAGTAAATTGAAATAAATAAAAAAAAAAACAGTAAAATCATGGTCCACCTCGAACCAACCTATTCATAGAGAGGAAGTTGTCTTGAATAGGCTAAGGATAGGACATGCAAACCTAACATATTCTTACCAGATAAGTAAACAGTCTACACCAAAATGCCAACACTGCTACAGTACTCTCATAGTCAGCCACATTTTTTATGAGTAATAGAGACACTCATACATAGAGACATATGTATCAATTTTAACCAAATTAGGACTCATGCCAAAAATACCAGATGTATTACATAATGATGAAGTTAAAGCAAGTTCGGTAGTAAATGTTCTTAAATTTAATGATTTGCTAAACAAATTTTTAATTTGAGTTGTTTTTTATTTACTTTTTTTTTTTCTTCATCCCAAAAAATAATTTAGTATTGAGGTAATTGAAAGAAATATTAGATAGGCGTTGATGGCCTCGGGTTTTTACACCTTTAAATACAACAACAAAAAGACAGGTTGTTACTAATCCCCACATATATTATTGCAGTAAGTTTTGAAATCGGTTTTGTATCAAATATAAGCTCCTGTCATGCTCAAATATCATGAATGGGGTCCTGTTGGATTCAGAATTTCACGGGGGGTTACGAATCGTATTCTTCACTTTTGTTTTTCTTCCTAAAATAAATAAAGTCGATACAAACATTCTGCTAAGCTTGAATACTGGAATGGTGGTAGGTCTGTAGATCGATACGGGACAAATTGGATCTTGAAGATTTTGATACGTACAGCAAGACCCGGATCCTGCGTTTTTAAGCCCCAAAACGTACTATTTTCGAGATAACGCAAGGCATAGGGTTCGCATCCACACAATCTTGCATTAATTGTAGTACTGTCATTGAATACATGTTTCATTTCGTCGACTTGAGGTCTCTATGATCGAGAGAGGAGGAGTTTATATTATTTATCGATGGTGTTTTTTATCGGCAAGCCATCGTTAATTTTTCACCAAATCTCAAGATTGAGCCATCAATTTCGAAGGCTTCCTTCTCCTTTAGGCGGGCAAGTCCAATCACCCAGAAAATTCAGGACAAGAAAACAAACAATATTTGCGAATAACTAAATAAATACACATTTTTACCTCATGCCCATAATTATATAAAAAATAACTAAAAAATTACACACTTTTTCCATTTTATGTCCACGATTATATAAAAGATTACTATATTTCCTACAAAAAGAAAAAAAAATCATCGAAATCGGACAATTTTTAGCAAAGATACAGCTTACTGAAATTTATAAACATGTTGGTTCCAAGTAACATTTGATGTATTTACCTTTTGATACGTTGCATTATTTTATTTTATTATTAATTTGGCATTTGATAACAATATGTTGAATTTTTCGCACGGGCCTACTACTAATGGCTTAATCGCACCCCCTTAATATGAAATTGCAAAATTAAGTTTGTGATTTTCCTTACCGGAAAATTTCTTCTTTTGATACAGCGCATAAGGTATGTTACTGTCCTCCAACATTCTCTACATTTGTATGTGCAGGCTATTCGAGCTGAACAACAGGAGCTGGACCAATATCCTGTTCACGATCGCCTACTTCCTCCCAACCTGGATGATGTTCAGTTCTATAATGGTCTTCTCTTCGGTGTGCCTCCTCATTGGCGACAGCTTTGTTTCCATCAGCGCTGCACTGCTCAACCCCTACCGCGGACTTGCTGAACTGGACTTCCTACTCCAGACTCACTTCGTTCTCATAACGGCTGCGGAGTCAGTAAGCGTTTGCTTTGGAATCCAGAATCTCTGCGTCTTTATAACTACCTTCTTCATTTTCACTTCAAGGGTTTATACTGTCCTCAGTGGAGGGAGCATATTTTCCGTCTTGGTGGCTGTCTTTTTTTACCCTTTCATGTGTTGGAACATTGTTAACGTTTGTAACGAAACAAAGCGAAAGGTAAGGACTCTTTACATTTACACCTGTTCTTTATCATCATTAAGAAATGTTGGTTAATTGTGTACATTTACTCATTAATTCATAATAATTATTGTTACTAAATTTGTTTTAGGGTAAAATGTTTACCGAAGCCTTGTATTATTCTGCCTTGTTCGGCAAACAGAGGTTACTATCGAAAAATGTAAGTCCCTTAAGATTCGACATTTAATTAATTGTATCACTCTCCAACCAGCAGAACCAACCGAATTACCAAACAGATTTCTTCTTATTTATGAATTATGACTAGTTATTCAACAGAAGAATAATTCCCAGGGGAATGCCATTCTCTTGTAACTAACTCAATTCTGTTGAGATACCTACAGTATTATATATTTAAAATTTACAAAATGTACAAGCTTAAAGTGATATAATTTATAATAAATATCTGATTAATTTTATTCACATATTTTTTCAGACGAAGGTATCCTTCCATTTCGCTTCCGTAAAAGAAGTCCAGTTTTCTGCATGTGGTTTCTTCATTTTAGACTTTCCTGTAATATGTTCTGTTAGTACTTGGTATGGAATATTGTATGGTTTGGTAAACTATCTTAAACTATCAGTTCAATTTCATTTGTTGCAGATGACCGGTGCGGCAACTTCGTACCTACTTATCCTCTTCCAGTTCTCTGATTCGGACTAAAACACTACCGCTTAGCTGCAAGTCATAGCATCAACAAATAATGAAAACATTATTCAAACTAATCTTGTATTTATTATATAGTTATTTATTATATAATCATATTCGAACTATGGTAAACCAGCAACATTTGTAATCTTACCTTCAATTATCAATTTCTATAAAAGAGTAGAAATAAAAAAAAAAAAAGATGGTTGTTGTACGGTCCATTTCTAACTGTTTCTCCAACCATATATATATATATATTTTTTTTTTTTTTGCTCATATTAAATGTTTCGTTTCATTAAATCTCATCTCTGTATAGTTTTATGTTCAAAAATCATTCTTGACAAGTCAATACACATAACTTCTGTATTTTCTTTTAAGTTAATTGCCATTTTCGCATTAGCCTAGGTTTGACGGAAATTTCAGAAACCAAAAGTATTAGCGTTCAATTTTAATTTCATTCTATAAACTTACTTATCAATTTTTACTCTAAGATAGATGAGTCGAAACCCCGAAAATATCGTCAACCGTTTTCAGAACTAAACATGGTCTATTTAAATTGATTTAATACAATTATCTTAGCTTATTTTTGTCGATAGCGCTGCACAGAACTCAATTAAGTTCGAAAGGCATCACAACGACTCATTGTTTTGTCGATCTCAATTTTTTCATGTATTCCTGAGTTCTAAGTACAGTTTACAAAACCGTACTAGTCAGTTTTTAATTTTTATTCATTTCGGTTTATTATTTTTAATAAAGAACCATTGCAATCGACCAAAAAGTTCAAAACCTTACCCCTCCCTCCCCCTCCTGAAAATTTGTTGTGGTTTCACGTTTTAGAATACGTAGAATTCCAAAATCGAATATTTTTTTTATTTGTCCGTCCGCCGTCCGCGCATTTTCTCCGAAGCTAGCAGACCGATATCTTTTTTAAATTTGGATTTAAAGTCAGAGGTCACCCGAGGATGGTCCTCTTACATCGACATTATTACGAATGTACCGATTTTAATGAAACTTGGCTAAAATCTTCTGTTTAAATTGTTTACGTTCGCAACACTTTCTCTTAATATAGTTTTCATATATATATATATATATATATATATATATATATATATATATATATATATATATATATATATATACACTGACAGGCAAAACATTCCACCCACTTGATTTTTTCATGTTTTCATCTAAAAATATTTCTGCTTTGGATTGGTCTATTGTTTATAATGAATAAATAGATAATCTTTTTGTTTGTTTTCAATTAGGAATGTTAATATAGAGGATAATAACCCTTAATCCTTAATTCAATGAAATTATTCTAGATTCCAATGTTTACTTTCTATGGAATCAAAATTTTTATTCAGTATCATTAGTTCAGTGCCGTTTCTTGCAGCACATTTCTTTGTCGCCGGCTTCTAAAACAAACAAAAAGATTACCTACTTATTCATTAAAAACAATAGACTAATCCAAAGCAGAAATATTTTTAGATGAAAACATGAAAAATCAAGTGGGTGGAATTTTTTGCCTGTCAGTGTATATGTGTGTGTATTAGGTGAGTAAAAATATTAACATACCGTAATATTAATATTTTAATATGTTACTTTAATATCAATATATTAATATTTTACATAATACTAACATCTTACAAAATGTTAAACATGAATAAAGAGTAAAATGATTCAACTAAAGAATGATGTCGAAAATTTAGTAAGTAAAGCAAAAAATTGTAGTCACCTAAATTATTTGTTTGGTAACATTTAAAATCCAAATAATCGAAAGTATAGGTTATAAAAGAAACAGGATACCATCATATGTTCCAAAGTTGCTAATAGAAGAAACAGAAATATCAAAAATAAAAAAATCAATAATAAATCGAATGAAATAATTCTTGAAAATTTATTGTTTGTTAAATATTCATTCCTGAACGTCGGACCGGACTCGTAAAGATATAAACTGTAAAGTAAAAAATAAAATGAAAAAATAAAATGCTTCATTTTTCTCATTCGTAACCGTTATAAATCGCCACTTGCCAACCGGATGGGGGCTTGCGATAATGTTTCTTAGCAGTGAAATCTATTACTTATTATGTTCCACCGAGACGAAAATACAACGCTCGTAATTTATTCGCCTCTAATGTATCACAATTTAAGTTACTATATTCTCAGTGACCAGTTATTTATCCAGATTTCGGTCTTTCAAAAGCGTATAGTATAATGCCTTTTGATGCGGTAAGTAGGACTAAGGAACCTAGTAGGTATATCTTGCGCAACTGAATCTTAAATATAAGCATATCATACTTCATTTAAGCTGCCAACTTTGAATTACGAACGGTTTCGAATTCCTTCCCAGGAGGCGTGATTGCTCTCATATTAAATTAAAGGATTTAGGATCTCCGCGCTAACATTACATAAGTATAAGGGCAACAGTTCATGAGTTAGTTGTTACTTCACGTATTAAATATCTATCGCTCTTCCTGTTCGCACTTATCTGCTACATTCAAGCGATATGACGTTCTATACCATAGGTGGAGATATGCGGATAGCCGCATGTGGCCTCCTGTGACGTAGTTACGGCCTCCAAATTTTTTTAGGCAATATATATTGATCTAGTACTAGAATTCATTAATATTTAATTATTTAATAAACAACGACTATCTGAAAATTAATAGAATTAAGTTGAATGTTTATATGTGGGTGTGTATGTATTTAGCGATAAATAAAAATAGCAACGGTAAAATATAAAGAATTATTGCGACCTTCATTGGTACTGCCTAACCTTACTGCGGCCTTAACTTCCAATTAATTACAAAAGACTCATGTACATGACTATAATTAGACCTATTTGGACTTACGGAGTTGAGCTATGGGGCTCCGGTAAACTATCAAATTCCTCTCTTATCCAATTCAAAATCCTTCGTAATATCATCAATGCTCCCTCATTGTCACAAATAAAATAATCCGCAAACGCATTAATGCTCCATATGTTTCCGATTTGGCCCAATCCAGATACCTATCCTTCCATAATTAACTGCATACCATCCGAATACTCTTGTTTCTAACCTTGCTTTCTCTTCGTTCCTGAGATCCGAAGGATCTGAAAAGAAAATGTCCTCGTGATCTCCTTATGTTAATATATTATTAGAGTGCAACCAACGGATAGTTTTTCAACAAGCGTTTTAATATGATTATATTCCTCTATACACATTCATTTGATGTATTTATACTATTACAGTTGTAAATATCATACATAAATAAAAAATAAAATGTTTTAGATTTAATTTTGCAATATCTGTGGCTGTAGTGCCTTTAGGCAACCACCCCTTTAATACTTGTTACGTTGTAAGAGAGAAGCGCTGCAATCTCTTAGAGCTCTCATTTTTCTCTTCTCAATTTAATAATTTAAATCGTCATGGTCAACATTTCCATTCAAATAAAAAAAAACAAGAAAACACATAAGGTTTGTATTTATAATTAAATAACATTTTAATGGTTTACTAACTTTAAAGAATATAAAAATTACTGTAATTAAAGTGGTATGTAAAGGGGAGTGATGCAGCTTACAAGATTAAATTAATTTTTTTTCATAACATTAACTAAAATTTTTAAATTCGTATTTTAATTAAAGTTATAAGACAGTAAATGACAACAAAACTTTGGATAATTAAGATAACAGAGGAATTGGTCTGCTTTATGTCGCTTTACCATCAATATTCTAGAAAACATTTCTGTATTTTCCATCATTTAATTTTGAAATTTTAATATGACGTCAAACAACTTTCAAGACTCAAGTAGGTAACTGGATTCATTTTTTCAGGCTAAAAATTTCAAGGTTGAAATATGCTATATATATTACAAGAAGATGGTCATTTATAAACGAATGGGGCAGTTTTTCTCTTTTAAAATTGAAAGAATTGGAGCTCAGTCCCGCGGTTTCACACGTGTTAAATTTCGATTACATGTATATATATATATATATATATATATATATATATATATATATTTAACACATGTGAAACCGCGGGATGTATTATATATATATATATATATATATATATAGAGAGAGAGAGAGAGAGAGAGAGAGAAGAGGAGTACAGGCGGAGCGGAGAGTACTAGATCAAATGAATTTGATTAGCTGAATAACGAAATTTATTTACTTGCTTGGAAAAAACAAGGACCAATTGCTAAAATGAAAGTGAATCGACAGAAAGGGTCTTCTTATTAGTACCACTCCTTGAAGAATTAAATTCCACTTGCTCTAAATGCAGACATCTGGTAACTACTTCATATGTTAATAATCCAGGTGGACTCAATATCAAATGCGTAACATTTGTATTTTTTTTAAATATCTGAGAATTCATTTTAATTTTTTATTTTAAGTAAATATTTTATTTAATTAAAACTCTAAACGCTTCATTATAATATTTAAAAATTTATGAAGGCTACTTTTAAATTAAATGGATGTATTGAGAATTAATCAGTTGGCGAATTTCCAAGAATTGGGAATCGATAAGTGTTTTCCTTACCCATCCATTCCGAAATAGCTTTTTTTGGAGTTCAATTTGCATTAATTAAATAGTGGATCATTTAAATTATTAATCGCATCGTTAATATGTACTCAGCTGTATGCATACATATAAATCGATGGTGTTTTAAAAAAATCCAATTATAAAACACTGTTTTTTTTTTTCAAGAACATTAATTATTATTATTAGAAATAATTTACGAGCATATATTTTTAATTAATTAATAGACAGTGTTTTTTTTTTTGTTTTTTGTAATTATATCTAATGATGATGAAATTCTTGTAACAATCTTTAGTTCAAATATTATGAAGTATAAATATTATAAAATTAATGATAAATATTATCAAATTAATTTAATCTTATGCAAATAATTAGTTACTACCAAGTTGTGCCCCTGGATAAACTTATGTTATAGGAACCTTCTTTCTATAAACGACGAGTTCTTGACCAAGTGCATAAATAAATTGATTAACATCCATAATTTATGTAGTAAATCACTAAAAAAAATAGTTGACTTGACTAAAATAGTCTTCAGATTTATAACA